AATTAGATTAAATCAAAATTAGAAAAGCTTCACAATTTTTTGAGCTTTCTAGGGTTGAAAACGGCGTAAAAGCTATATAACGCGTGATAAATTTCGCACCAAAAATCAAAATGTGGAAAGGTTAACGATTTTTAACTTTCTACCAGTGTTGAAAAGCCGCTTCGCGACTTTTCAACCTAGCCCAGATCCAACCCCATATTATTCTTCACTCTGCATACGTCTCTCGAATTCTCTGCATTGAAAAAATGAAAAACACCCCTCTCTCGCATTATATATAGGCTGCCGCCACTTCCGGAGTATGCTAATTTTTCCTAACAAAGACGGCGGCCGATTTTTCAACAAAAACTTAATTTTAATGTCTAAAATAGCATAATTTGCAAAATCTGGTAAGCGTGCAGTCATCCCAGAGCCATTACGCACCTACTGACGTATCATACGTAGCCTACGACCCTTCCCTCTTGAGATATCCTCCGGACACGCTGACGGAAGTTGCATGCAAAGTGGCACACACACACACGACACTATTTTTTTATATATAGTAGGATACTTTAAAGGGATAACGAAGGCATCGGTAACGCGAGGAAGTAAAATTTCTTTCCGTCTCGCCCCTGGGCGCGTTCTCTGCCCAGTTGGCTACGTACCAAAAAGTCGATCAGGGGTGATCGACCGATACCATCGGTATCCCTTTAAGACAGCGTCAAATGGCTGCATAACCGGTGTTACCACCGAGTGGTAGTCCAGTACCAAGTTTCTACCTCGGGATATCCTTCTCTTCCAAAACGGCCGTCAGCTTCTTGGGTGCGCGCCAGACCTTAGTCTTTGGGCGCACCGTATCATTCTCTTCCATGTTGACGGCCTGATCAGGGGATGTGGAGGGTATTTGCACCAAGGTATATACGTCACGCCATCTAAACAGATTTTGGGATTATACTTTAATACTACCTGAACTTTGAAAGCTTGGCGACAGTCGGTTTTTCCTCGGCATCCACTACATCTTCCACATTCTCCGTGCCATTTTTCCGCGAGTCGGCCAGCATTTGGTAGTAGTACACGACAGAGTACTTCTCGTCGGTGAATTCTCCTAAGATTGTGTTTATCTTGAAAACTAGACGAAAACTACCACGTTGCCGGCTTCGAGATGAACCGCCGGACGATGTGGGCGCGCTGTCCCCAGGCGTTGAGGCTAAATTAAAGGTTCAGAAAATCTAGAAAGTTTTCTTTCGCATTGCATTTTCTCGGGGATAGAAAACCGTTTTTCCCCGGAGCCAATTTATCAAATACAATGGAATTGTTAATATACGAGTTTTTTACTATTCCTAAACGTCAATACTTTTCAAATTGCCGTTAAAAACTATCAAAAACATAGACTTTTCGACCAAAATAGCCGTTTTTTTGACCAAGTTTGAACTTTTTCAAGTTTTTAGAGGATGTGTCCTAGCTGAAATTTGCTTAAATATTGTACCAAAAACTCCATTAAAACTTCCTTTTGAGCTATTAGACATTTCTAGACATACTAAAAAAATCAGTCTTCCCGTCCCCGATAATGCACAAGGACCAAAATAACTAGAAGAAAAAAATACCGGAAGTGTTGGGCGTCTGCTGGGAAGGACTGTCCGGAGCTGCTGGACAAATCTGGATATCCAGAATAGAGTACAGAAAACAGTGGTACCATGTGTTTGGAGAAAGCTGACTCACCTCCTCGTCCAGTAGCGATAGATCGTTTCCATATTGGCTAAAATTTGTTGCTTCAGGTAAAAAGTTAAAGAAGTAAAATCGCACAATGGAAATTAGGAAGAGGAAATACGAAGAATAAAAAATTTTCAGAAAGAATTAATTTTCAGAAAGGACCAGACCAGAGTCCACTGCAATACTACGTGCATACCGTATCGGAAGGGTACGGTAGTTTCCACGCAAAGAGCGCTCCCTCCATTTTCTTACTTTCGACAAAATTTCTCAATTCACAGGCACGATCTCTCCAGAATTTCTTTTACTGGAAAACTTTCTCGGTTCTACACCGGTAGCGTGGTCTTATACGAAATCGTGGTCTTTGGCTGAAATCGTGGTCTTTGTCAGAAATCGTGGACTTTTCACGAAATCGTGGTCTAATGGACGCCGATGCGGGTGTTAACGTGGTCTTTAATCGATATCGTGGTCGATTGCCGGCATCAGGGTCTTTAAAAATCCTATCCTAAGAGCGAGAAAAGTATGTCTGTTTTCTGTAATGAGGATTTCTCGGCCGTGAGGCCGGAATTTGAAACTGATTTTTGGCGTGAAGGTGAAGAACCACATTTATCAGACACGCATTTTTTTGTTTGGCGAAATTCTTTCATTTAACGAAATTACCAAGCAAAATAATTGAAAATCCTTAACAAAATGGGCCATTGGCCGTGGTGTCAGGAGCATAACTCGATTCGCATTTGGAATTTCAGGCTGAAATTTGGACCAGTTATGTATTCAATAGTGAAGATAGCGCGCATCTTATTATCTTTACAAATTTTCTGCCGATTAAGACTCAAAAACTTAATTTTGTAAAGTGACCAGAAGGCCTCCCTTCCGGGGCATTTGGGTCAGGCACTTTCTTTGCCTCGCCCGCCCTTTCCCCGGAACAGAAGAGGGCTTTCCCCGCCTGATCCCATCTACCCCATGGTGTAGTGGATTTACGCCCGGCCTGCCACGCCTATGATCGTGGGTTCGGATCCTGGGCAAATCTAACTTTTTGCTTTTTGGTGGTTTAGCAACTAAACATATTTCTAGGCTCTCGGTATGCGAGGTTTAGGCCTGGCCCTCGCTCTAGCGCCGCAGGCCCAAGAGAAAGTCCTTGAACCCAGGCTCTCGCGCCGCAGGCCAGATCCTGGAGAAAAAGCAGTAACTAGCGCCGCAGGCTCAAAGGTTCTAGCGGAACGCTGGCTCTAGCGCCGCAGGCCAAATCATGGCGTCATTACTCAGACTCTTGCGCCGCAGGCTAAAAGAAGAATGTATTCAGATTCATGATTCCTAGACGGGGTCCAGTGGAAAACGGCCGCGAAGCGGCCTTTTTCCACTGGTCGAAAAATCGGCGATTTTTTGGGCCTGTTGAAAACGTGGTCTTTAAGAATCCAGGTTCGGACCGGCTATAGACCACGATTCCAAAACTTCCGGAAAAGCCCCCCAAATCGCTGGAAAAACGTGGCAATTTCACTAGGATGATCCGGGTACACTCGTATGTTGAAAAAGTTTAAATTGACTGTTTGAAGAAGCCGGTAAAGCCCAAAAATGCGATTCCGGTGTATCCAGACTACGTCGCGGGAAAGACTGTCGGGGCCGACCTAATCAATCATTTTTAGCTATAAACAAATTCTTTGTATATTTTACGACCCTCTATTCGTTCAAGAAATTTTGAGAAAACATGGAGAAAACATTCAAGGAATTTTGAGAAAACGTCTAAACTGTCGAAAACTAGCTTTCATTCAATGTTCCACTGTGAAAACTACGTTTCATATTTGATTTTGCCATAACTATTTTGTATTACAATATTTTGACTTAAAACAAAAACTCTTTGTATATTTTCGATGACGGCGTTGAAAAATCCCGAAAAAACACAAACCTATCCAAGAGTAACCTTATTCAAAAGCGTTCCAAAAGTACTGTTTCAACTGTTTCCAAAAGTTGTTGAATGACAATATTTGAAACGTTAGAGCTTATTTTAGTGCTCTGCAATTTAAAAATACCCAAACTTCAATTTTCCCATAAAAATCGCCGCAAAAATATTTCGGAAGTGTTTGCTAGCAGGTCTTACTCAGAAAAGTATTGGCATTTGGCCGCCTCATTTCCAATCAAACCGAAATTTTTAGGGCAGGTGGGGCAGGTTTTGGGCAAGGCCATAAACCACATAACGTGCTAGGTTAGAAACATACTGGTGAAATTGCCACGTTTTCCAGCGATTTGGGGGCTTTTCCGGACGTTTTGGAATCGTGGTCTATAGCCGGTCCGAACCTGGATTCTTAAAGACCACGTTTTCAACAGGCCCAAAAAATCGCCGATTTTTCGATTTTTAAAGACCCCGATGCCGGCAATCGACCACGATATCGATTAAAGACCACGTTACCCGCATCGGCGTCCATTAGACCACGATTTCGTACAAAGTCCACGATTTCGTACAAAGACCACGATTTCGTACAAAGACCACGATTTCGTACAAAGACCACGTTACCGGTGTAGAACCCTTTCTCTCAAAAAGCGATGTTTGTCCCAAATTTTTCTCCACTTTACCTGTTCTCTAGCTCCTTTTCCACTATTTTTCTATCCTATCAGTCAATTTTCAGTGTAACTGTATAATGAGTACCGCCACGGTGCCCTGGAGACCACCCGGCATCGATGCTACGCGTCAACCTTCACCACAAGAGGTTTCCCCAGCCTTGGTTTTCGAAAATGTTATTTTTAGGAGAGCTCTCACAAATTGGCGCATAGTTTCACGTTCTCCTACTTTCATGCACCGCGGAATTTTGATGGAGAAGACTACAGCGGGCATGTACAACAGCTGGCAGTGGTTAGTGATTTCTTTTTTTTCAAAAACTTTGGGTTTAGGTAAATACTGTCGAAGAATTCTGGCGTGCCTATTGCCATATTCGGCGGCCCGGCGATATCAATACGAAGCTCGACCTGCACTTCTTCAAGGTTCGTCTGACTTTGTGAATCTTTTTACAAATTTCATTTCAGGCAGATATCCGGCCGGTTTGGGAAGACCCGGAAAACGTGGAGGGTGGCAAGCTGTTCTGGCGCATCAAGGCCAACTTCGCCGACCGGATTTGGGAGAATATGCTGTTGCTCCTGGCCGGCTACCAGTTTGAGGTAACCCGATCGCGTGTAGCTAGCCGACTCGGATTTAGGACTCTGAAGACATTGCCGGTGTCGTGTGCACGATGCGAGGCCGAGAGCGCATCCTCTCCATTTGGCACCGCAGCAAAAAGACGCAAGAAGAGGTGGAGCGGTTCGCGGAAGTGGTGTCGGCCCAATTGGAGATGCCCAGCAGTGTTGTCTGGCTTCACAAGAGTCATGTGGAAAGCTTCAAGAAACGACGATCTTACCACTGAATTTCGTTATTTTGCGGCCGCGCAGCTTATGAGATTTTGAGAGGTGCTGCGATTAGTTTGTCTGATAATACATTTGTTTCTTATAGAAACCTATTGATAAATTCTTTCATTGACCGTATTCGATCCGATCCTCAAATGATTTGAGAAAGTTATAGATTGTTTGCCGATGTAGGGGATACCATTTATTCTACTACCTAGATTTGTGCCTATTCACTACATTGTGATTAGTTTGATTAAATGTAACAAAATGAGTGGATGAGCGGTGGGGAAGCTATATTAGCCGTAGCGAGATTCAAGATCTAGGGCTCAAGGGAAGGTAATATCAGGATCAAAGGAGAGAGCCCAGACGAGCCATAGAGGACATAACGCCATTACGGCTTAGGACTTGATGTGCTCGTCTAATCTCCGGCGGCGTCAACGCCGGAGCAGCTTCCTCCGTCCTACGGCGTGCCCGCATGGCCTCCTCGACGAGTTCACCGAGAAACGTCTTTGCCACTGCGCCAATAACCTCGGCTATGCTCGGACCGATCATGATGTCACAGTGCTTCTATAACAGGAATATTATAATTTGTCTTATAGTCAATTCTTTCGTATCCCGGGTCGTCAATTTTTGGCGTATTTCTAAACTATGGATAGCTGGTCGTACCCAGATTTTCATAGTTTTTCAAGCAAAAAATTAGTTAATTTGAAGTGAAAAAAATCGGTTCTGTTCTATTTCGCGTGGGGGAAAAACTGTGCGGGGGAAATAATACTTCGTGGAACCTTCCGTCTTTCACGCTATTTTCTCGAAATTTTAGCAACGCCATTCGATAGGACATCAAAAAATATACTAAGAGTTTTGTTTTATCTAAAAAATATTGTAATATAAAAAGTTATAGCAAAATCAAAAAAAAAAACTATTGAAACCTGGTTCAGGAATGCTAGTTTTCGGCAATTTTTCGCCATTTTTCGATATTTTGAACCCGTCATTCGATAGAGCATCAAAAAATATATACTAAGAGTTTTAATTTCAACTAAAAAATATTGTTTTATTAAAATAGTTATAGCCTAAAAAGCTCAGGTTTTGTTCAGTTGTTTCCACTTGGGATCGTGAAGTCCAAGCTAGTTTTCGACATTTTCGACTAACTTTCAAAAATTTCTTTAATTCCATTCGATAGAGCGTCAAAAAATATACTAGGATTTTTCATTACAATTTAAGAAATAGCATCATATAAAAGAGTTATAAAAAACGAAGAAAATTTCCCCCCGCACAGTTTTCCCCCCACGCGAAATAGAACAGGAACCAAAAATCGCTTAGGAAGACTAATATGTAAGTAGAATTTGCACGTTTGTCAAAAGCAAGCGTTGCCTTCGACCGAAAAATCTATTTTGATAACGTTTCTATAAAGATTGGCAAAGAAAAGAAAAACATGAACGTTTGTCGTGCTAAGCAAGCGTTTTTCTTGGCCGAAAATCTATTTTGATAACGTTTCAAAGAGATTGGTAAAAAAAAGAAAAATTGAACGTTTGATCAAGCAAGCGTTTTCTTTTGGCCGAAAAATTGAACGTTTGTCAAAAAGCGTTAGCGTTTTCTTTGGCCGAAAAACTCTATTTTGAAGTAACGCGTTTCTAAAGATTGGAAAAAAGGAAAAATT